ATACATTTGATCAGTTTACTCAATAGTTTACTCACAAGTCTTGAATTAAAAACTAGAAATCAAATAGTTTAATCATACATCCAATATAAATAAATTAGTCTAACATATTAATACGAAAATTACACAAAAAATAAAAGGAAGCCATCACCCGAATTATATATAACAAAAGAAAATCTGGAATTTGACTCTTCACGCCTTCGAAATCGGATCCAAAATGATGAATTCCTCATTCTCAATGTATTCTTCTCTCTTTATTCTCCAAAATACGGCTCTCCCTTCAAAACCCTGAAAAATACCCTTTTATACCAACCCTAGAAACTCCCCAAAACAAGATAAGGAAACAAACAATTTTTCCTCGTTCTAGTTTGAGGCTCGCGCCTAGTAGAAACTAAGGGGCGCTCCTTAGCCATTTGTCAAGCCTCAGTTGAGGCTTTTAGGGGGTGAGGCGTACGCCTCGCCTACAGGCGATGGCTCGCGCCTTAGAGCTCACTTTTGGAGCTAATTTTGTTTTGGCCCCTAAACTTTCCTCATGCTCCCGGCCAACTTCCAATTATGTGCATCTTAGTCCTCTCCTTCTTCATTTGCTTTGTATAAATCCATTTCTTGATCATTTTCTCTAATCTCCATGTATTCATCGATGTGAACCTAAAACATAAAGTAAACCACAAATTTAGCCACAAATCCATCCATAATATCACAAATATCCATATTTTGACAAACTAAATAAGCAAAAGAAATGCACTTGTCAGAATGCTTATTTGGAAAGAATATGTATTTTCAGTGTGGTAAGTCGAGACACATTACTTTTAACTGTACAGAGCTTTCAGAGGAGTGATGATGATTAGGACAAGAATAAGAAAGGTAAGGCCCGAGTTTTTGCACTAAATCAGCATGAGACAGAGCATGATACGAATGGGATAGCAGATATTCTATTATTATATGATGTATCTGCTTACATACTTTTTGACTCTGGGTTACAAATTCTTTTATCTTTGCATCATTTGTTGCTAAGTCTAACTTTACATATGTGAAAACGAATAAAGAATTAGAGGTTAGCATCCCTTTAAGAAGAACCCTTTGTACAAATCAGATAATTAAAGCTATGAAGTTAGAGATTGATGGCGAAATACTACAGGTGAACTTATATCTTTTGGAGATGAAAGATTTCGATGTTATTTTAGGCATTGACTGGTTAGGACTCAATCATGCGACCATTTGATGTCACGAGAAAGAAGTGTTATTTTAGACTTGGAGATGAAGAGTTTCTTTTTGTTTTAACAAAGTTCAAGTGTCTACCTCGCCTGGTATCAGCTTTACAAATGGAGAAGATCTTGAAAAAGGAGTCATGCAAGGGATTCTTAGTTAATATCATCGGTTCCAAACATACAAAAACAACAACTAATCATATTAACATTGTGCGAGACTTTGTAGACTTATTCCCAGAAAATCTACCAGACATTCCACCAAATAGGCAAGTAGAATTTACAATTGACTTGGTTACTGGAGCGACACCAGTATCTAAGGCCCTGTATTGAATGACACCGAAAGAACTTCAAGAATTGCAATTACAACTGGAAGAGTTACAGGAAAAATGTCTCATTCGACAGAGTGTATCTCATTGGGGCGCTCCAGTACTTTTTATGAAGAAGAAAAAGGATGGGAGTATGAGGATGTGGATTGACTATCGAAAATTAAACCATCTTACTATAAAAAATAGATACCCGCTGCTAAGAATAGAAGATTTATTCGACCAATTAAGGGGTGCAACAGTGTTTTCAAAGAGCGACTTGAGATCGGGGTATCATCAGCTAAATTTCAAGGCAAGCGATATACCGAAAACTGATTTCATGAATCCTTATGGCTATTATTAATTCACTGTCGTGCCTTTTGATTTAACCAATACTCCAGTTGTATTTATGGATATCATGAATTGAGCGTTCCATCAGTACTTAGAATAGTTCGTCATCGTATTATTGATGACATACTTGTGTGCTCTAAAGATAAAACGTAGCATGAAGAACAATTCCAAGTAGTACTTGAAACTTTGAGGAAAGAGAAATTATATGCTAAATTCAAGAAGTGCGAATTTTGACTCAATCGAGTGAGTTTCCTTGATCACGTGGTTATCATCCAAGGAATTGAGGTAAACCCAATTAAAGTGGAAGCAGTAACTAATTGGCCTAGACTAGCCAGTGTGGGGGAAGTTCGTTGTTTCTTAGAGTTGACTGGCTTGCTATTATCGGCGATTTATTGAGGGTTTCTAAAAAATAGCAGGTCCGATGACTCGGTTGAATAGAAATGGAGTGAAGTTTCAGTAGACGAAAAAGTGTGAAATATGTTTTCAGGAACTCAAGCAAAGATTAGTCTCGGCTCCTGTACTGACGATACCTGAAGGATCAGATGGGTTTGAGATTTACAGCGATGCCTCCAACAAGTTTTGGATTGTATTCTGATGCAACATGGAAAGGTGATTTCTTATGCCTCGAGACAGTTGAAGCAGTATAAACATAAATATCTAACGCACGACTTAGAGCTTGCAGCAATAGTTCACGCCTTAAAGATATATTGTCACTATCTGTATGGATGGAAGTGTGAAATCTATATGAACCACAAGAGTCTCAAATGCTTTAGTGAAAGATTCTAACTGTACAATTCTTTACCATCCAGGTAAGGCTAACGCAGTGGCAGATACCTTAAGTGGGAAGAGAGGATCGCAGTTAATAGTTTTACCCATGGTGCAGAAACACTTGATAAAGGACTTTGAAAATTTGAGATTGGAAGTCATCACGCTGCCAACTCGGACTACAGCGATAATAAAAGCGTTTGTGATTCAACCTACTCTTCGAGATCAAATCTAGGAAGCGCAGGATAATAATCCATTTCTACAGAAGATTAAGGCCGAGGTTGGTATAAACAAACGTATAGAACTATAGTAGCTGCATATAAAGCACGGACTTTCAAAGGAAGATTGTGTGTACCTAAGGATGAAAGTACAAGAAACGAGATATTGGAAGAGGCTCGCTCCACCCTATATGCTGCACATCCAAGCTGTACAAAAATATATCGAGATTTTCGAGGTACATTTTGGTGGAGAAACATGAAAAAAGGAATTGGTATGTTCGTGGAGCAATATATTGTCTGTCAGCAAGTCAATGCAAAATATCAAATGCCATCATGACTACTGAAATCATTGGACATTCCAAAATGGAAATAGGAACACACAATGGACTTTGTGGTAGGCTTTTTGGGATCAGCAAGAAGTAACAGCGCTATTTGGGTAGTAGTTGATCGTTTGACGAAGTCAACCCATTTTCTGTCAATCAAAATAAATTTTAATATGGAACAGCTCGCACAATTATATGTTAGAGAGATAGTCAGATTGTATATAGTTCCAATCACCATTGTTTCATATAGAGACTCGTTGTTCACATCAAAATTTTGAAAACGTTTGCAGATAGCCATGGGAATGAAATTGAAGTTTAGTACTGCTTATCATCCATAGACGGATGGACAATCAGAAAGAACTATCCAAACTCTTGAAAATATGTTAAGGGCATGTGTTTTGGATCTTGGCAGTAGTTGGGAGGCACATCTATCATTAGTGGAGTTCTTTATAGTAAGAAGTGCAGATCCCCTATCTAATGGAACGAGGTCAGAGATAATAGAATTTTGGATTTTGAAATCATTGAACGAACAATTGAGGTGGTTCACAAGAATAGAGCAAGAATAAAGACAACACGAGACCGACATAAAAGTTATGTCGGTGGTAGAAGAAAGAATTTGAAATTTATAGTAGGTCACAAAGTTTTTCTGAAGGTAGCAACAATGAAGGGTATATTGAGGTTTGGTAAGAAGGAAAGGTTAAGACCACGATTCATTAGACCTTTCGAAATTCTTGAAATGATTGGTAGTGTGGCTTGCTGACTTGCCTTACCACTCAAACTTGTAATAGTGCATACTGTGTTCTATGTTTTGATACTCAGAAAATATATTCATGATCCTAAACATGTAGTGAACTATCAGACATTAGACTTACAAAAAATATTTGCCATATGAAGAAGCTCCGACGATGATTTTGAATAGAAAAGTGCACGAATTACGAAATAGAGTGGTTTCCCTGATTAAGGTTCAATGTCGAAATCATAAACCTCGCAAGTCAACTAGGAGAAAGAAAATGAGTTAAAAATCAAGTATTTAGAACTTTTCAATTAAGTCAATGTAAATTTTCGAAGACGAAAATAATTTAAGGAAGAGAGATTGTGGAGCCCCGAAAATTTCATAGGATAAAATTTAATTATTTTATGTGCTATATTTTATATTTTAAAAAACAAATTGGGAGATTAAAGTGATATGTATTAATTCAATTTTAATTGAGCCTAATATTTAGATTTTTATATAGTAATGATAAGTATAAATATTTGACTCGTTAGATAGCTCGTATTTAATCATCTATTTTATGTTCGAAAATAAGTTAATTCGAATAAGTGAAGCTTAAGTTATTGAAGTTTAAAGAAGTTGTCATTAAATATTATTTTATTACTTTTGTTTTTTAATTTTGAAAGTATGGCAGCCACGTTGTTGTTGGGATTGATCTACAACCAGTTCAATCAACTCTTTCTCCGTGTAGTTTTTTTTTTTAGGTGGAAAAAAATTACAAAGAAACACGAGAAAATTAAGCCCCCGTTTGATGTACATTATCATCTCATTAAAATGAAAAATATGACCGTTATCCATCACATCAACATTTAAATTCAATTTTCTATTTTTTATGTAAGCCTCAATAACGACTATATCTTTCATTCTCATTCTACAATAATTTGACTCAAACAAGGCCTAAACTTCAAAGTCAGCATACACAAAATTATGTCGTGGATGATGATTGTTCGATTAATCCAGTTTAGTCTTTCACGTTAGGGTACTTGCATATGCAAAGAAAAGTACTCTTGATCTAATGCATTACTGTGGTTACCTATTCGGACAGCAATTATCAAGCCCTGTTATCAATTTCTTCTCCCGCTTTCCATGTCTTCGAGGATTGAGCTCGAGTCTTGAGCATTGGCATCCGGTGCAGATCTTATATATACACTCTCAAATTCTGAGTGCCTAACAGTAAGAGCATTCGCATTGATCGACGATGATTGGTTGCCATTTCGAGAGTCTGCCAGCATATTGAAATATGCATGGGGTGCCCAACCTGTATAGCGAAGGAAGTTGTTAATATAAAATTTAGCAATACAAAACATTGCATTATGTTTCCTGTTCTCATGGAAGGCACCGAGTCGTCGAAAACACGTGGTAAACTCCAGCAGATTGGTTTATCAGCCCTGTGATGTGATCTTATTCCCTCTACACTCACCTCGTTCAAGTGTGAAGATGAAGAATTTACAAATTGCGAGTATTTGGTAAGCTAAACTAAATTAACCCTGGTCAGGATCCTAGTATGGCATTCATAGCCATTTTGGAGTAATTGAAAAGTCTCCTAGTTGATGAGTTTACACCGTTCACTTGAAGCTGTCACTAAATTCTTACTTCAGGAAATAAATCTCAAAACATACATACTTTAAGGCAAAACATGAATTTTCATTTCCACGTCCAACTTTAGTAGAACAACACAATATATTTCAGAACAGCATGGAAGCAAAGGTGATGAAACCGTTAGAATTATATATCTCACTGATCGATGCAAGTAAATTACCATCTACGTCATATGGTGGTGGAAAGAATTGCAAGTAACAAAATGAAGCAACAGTCATCCCTGCACAAGGAGAGGCAAGTAAAAAAGGATTGCAAATAAATATATAAGTGGAGAACATAAAAGAAGTCGTAAAGAGTAGATTCCATTCACATCACGAATACCTAACAGACCCCCAGCAAATACATCTTGCCAATGGTGCCAATAATCATCAACTCGTGAAACTCCAACTAATGCTGCAACAAGTAACGGCAGCAATATAACGCAGAGCTTTGCAACATGGCCCCTACGGTCAAATACTCTAATTTTCCCTGACAAGTACCAGGCTAGGAAGCCAAGACCAGCAAAAGACCCTACGGTGCAACAATCCAAATGTCATTGTTCTTCATGTTAGAAACTGAAAAGGCTAGCTCCAAACACAATGGTAGACTTCTGTGATAATTAAACTAATTATAGGACAAATCAAGAATCGCATGCTTTCTCAGTTTATGATCAATGTAAAGTAAGAGATTACAAGTCAACGTAAGATAGATGAATCATACAGCTTTGATCTTGAAAACAATTGATTAGATAGATGCCAAAGAAAATGCACCATAGGCATGTTGATTGATCAAAATAGAGGATTTGTTAAAAATCTCTCAATATAAATGTGTACAAGGAAGATTTCCATGTATGACAGCCATGTTTGAAATATCAGGAAGTTGAATGACGTAGCATGACGATATAAAACTAGTACTCTAGAGGTAAAATTGATAAGCAATCTAGTATGTGAATACTTAAAACTGGTATTTCAGTAGTCATATGGATATTAAGCCTCTGCTGAGACCCATTATTTCCCAAAAAAAAACTCATTTTCGATTCAAATTTTGTTGGCCACGATACAGTGCATTGGTTGAAAGATGTCGGAAGATTGAATGCTTCAATTGACTTTTCCATCAGCCTATTTTATAGGTTACCTTTTATATTCCATATTTACCCCCATTTTTTATTTGTCTATCAACAGTGTAAGTAGTTACAATTACCAAATGAATTAGCACGTAAGTTTTTTTTTTTCCTTTTGTTTTTCTATTGCTTCAAAATGAAGGTAGAACCACTTTTTTTTTTTCCATTCCCTTTTTTTATTACTTAAAAGTCTAGGTTGAATAAAAAAAAATTATTAACTCCCTTTTTTTTTATTGTTTTGGAATAAAGGTTGAACAAAAAAAAAATAAAAAAAAAAATACATACAATAAAATATAGTTTGAACCAATAAAAATTTTTCTTTCCTCCCATTGAAATAAAGTTTAAACCAAAAAAAGTTGCTTTTTTTTTTCCTTTTTTATTGCTCTAAAAACATTTATTTAGCATAACATAATATGAAGCTTATGCTAACAAAAACTAATTTAGTTTTACATCGAATGGCTAAACTATTTTGAACGCCTGTCCTAGTTGCTAATTCCATGTAATCTCATAATGGTTCCCACATCATATCTTCCTCATTAGGCAAGTCTATTTCTACTTATTTGTCATTCGACTTTTAAGTTCCATAGAAAATCTCATCTACATTTTCATTTTTTAGGAAACTGTAGACTGTCATTGTTCCTACAACAATCACTGTTTAAGCCCGAAATGAGTAACTGGCCATCCGGTTAAAATAATTTCCATCGCTGCTCCTATAATCCAAATGCCTTCTCAATGATGTTTCTACAAGAGTGATAAAACTTGAATCGCTCTCGGGCATTTCGATATCTATGGCAATTAGTGTCATTACAGAACTTTTGAAAATGATATCTAATGCTCGAGCTTTTATAAGGAGACATATATCCTAGTTTATGAGTGAAACCCGTGTCCATCAAATAATATTTATCATATGTCAACTCTAAAAAATTATTATCTGGACTATGTATCACATTGTCCAAAATACGACTATCATGTGTATTCCTGTCCAGAACGACATGACGAATGTGAAGCACAAGGTGAAATCACATGCTGTAAGTACGTTTTCTGTTGAAATTCCTTTCCGTCCTTAGAAATTAGTGTGGCAGCAAGACTCTGACATGTGTTTCGTTAATGATTTCGATACAATATGTGGGCATTAAAATGGAATACATTAAGTCCCTGTTTGAGCTCCATTCTGAGAAAACTTATTTTTCCTCAAACTCTCTAATAAAATAATTTGACCAGTAAACCCAAAATATTGGCCTACTTTTTATTCACACATTAAAAAATATATATATATATCACTATTACAAAATTTATTATCCCAATAAATGGGACTCATATAGGGGCTAAGTAATTACAAAATATTCGATACCGTAATGAATGAATAAAAAATACAATGTAAAAATAATGTCCTTTCGTTACCCTTGGAAATGGGATAATCCTCAGGATTTAGGTAGTGATAATCTGGACATTGATTGTAGTCAGGATCTGATTTAATTATACATTAAGCAAACATATCCACAACGCGAAAAACAATCTTAAAATGACTATTTGTCTGCAACAAATGTCCGAAGTATGTTTGTACCAATCGGTATCATTTTTCGTGTGCCACTATACAACATATTGACTTGTCCGTATACGTCGATAAGGGCACTGCTTCTTAAACCATATTCATCTCGCAGAATGTGCGTATAATAAGTAAAAAATCGGAGGATACATTTGAAATTCTTGAAAAAAAGTTTGAGATAAACATGCAAGTTTTGAAGCATGAATACGTGAATGTATTGCGGGGAATAAATGCGTAGGTACCCTTCAACTTTCCGTTGTAATGGCAAACCATGCACTTTGATATGCGACAATATCGTTACCAAGTTTAAATGCCCTCTTCTAACTGATACATAAATACATCATTATAACAATTATCATCCGAGTCAGAGTTGAGCAACATACTACAATTGAAATTTAAGTCCATCATTTTGGTATAATATTAATAATATGTTCCTTGCAGTTATATATTAACAATAAAGATAGAGAAATTCAATCTAAGCTTTCATACTCAAAAGTTTGCACGTTTATCCATAAGCGTTACCAAGAAATTCGAATGTATCCTCCAATGTTTATTCATTTTACGCAAATTCTTATAAACAAATATAGTTTAAGAAGCAATGCATTTATCAAATTATACGAACAAGTTGGTATTTTTTAAATGTATTGACACGTGATAAAGAATACCAACAGGTACAAGCACACTTCAAACATTCGTTACACTTTAGTCATTACTTCAAGATTGTTCTTCGCGTTGTGGTTATGTTCGCTGGACTATGATTAAATTAGATCCATATTACAATTAAGGTCTAAATCATAACCGCCCAAATCAATAAGAATATCCCATTTTTCATGTTTACGAAATGACATTATTTTTATAAGGTACTCTTTACTCATTCCTTATTATATCGGACATTTCTAATTACTTTACGTATTCCATTTTAAAGCCCACATGATTGTATCGAAGCCATAACGGGACACATTAGAGTCGTGTTGCAGGCCCACCCAAAGTACTTCAGAGGATGAAAAGGAATTCCAACACAAAACGTGCTTGCAACATACAATTAAAACTTGTTCTTCACGTTCGTCCTACCGAGAATGACAAGTAATACATGTGATAGTCATATTTTGATTAGTATGATACAAAGTCATGGAGTTGACACATGAAAAATATTATCTAGTAGACTCGAGTTTCTTACATAGACCAGGATATACAGCCCATTATAAAAGCTCGGACACTGGACCCTTGTTTGAAAGGAATTAAAATCAAATTTTTAGTAGATTTTTATAAAAGTTGATGATATATGTAGTAGAAAGTTGTGGATCCAATAAAATATGCAATTAAAATTGACTTTGACTTAAATTAAAACTTAGATTTTAATCCCTAGCAAACAGGGGCTCGATATCACTTTAATGAGACTAACTGTCATAAACATAGATTTTCAGAAACCTAAGAGCTATATAACTTTTATCACTCCTCTTAGAAGCATTATTGAGAGGGCATTTGAAATATAGAAGCAATTATGAAAAATTCTTGATCAAATACCCAGTTATTCGTTTCGGTCTCAAATTGTGGTTTTTGTAATAACAATAGCTGTCCACAATTTCCTTTAAAGAAATGAGAATGTAGATGAGGCTTTTCGTAGAGCACAAGAGCCACACGATGAGGAAGTAGAGATAGACCTGCCCGAAGAGAGATGAAATTGCAGCCAAATTAGATGCAACTACCAAAGAAGATATGCCGTGATAACAATTACAGGATTACTTGACACATCTAGGATAGGCCCTCAAATTTATTTTGCCCATTCGAGGTAAAACTTAATTGATTTTTGTAAGCATAAGCATCATAGTACGTACACTAAATACAACTTTTTTTTTTTTCGACCCTTATTTTAAAGAAACAAATAAAAAACGAAAGGGAAAAAAAAGCTTTTTTATTCAACCTTGATTTCAAAGCAATAAAAAAAGGGAGGAAACAAAAACTTTAATTAGCTTAAAGCAATAAAAAAACAGAGGAAAAAATTGTTTATCTTTATTTTAAAGCACTGAAAATGGGGGAAAAAATATTTTTTAGTTCAACATTTATATCGCAGCAATAAAAAATGAAATGGAGGAAACAATTTTTTTTTTTTTTGGTTTAACCTATATTTTAAAGTAATAAAAAAACAAAAGGGAAAAAAAAAAAGTTTGGTTCTCTGTCTTTATTTTGAAGCAATAAAAAAAGGGGAAAAAATCGGTTCAACCTCTTTTTTAAAGCAAACAATAACCAAAAAGGGAAAACAAAACCAACCATCTACTAATTCATTTGATAATTGCAACTACTTACAATGTTAATAGGTAGATAAAAAGTGGGGGTAAACATGGAATATAAAACGCAACAATAAAATTGGTTAGTGGAAAAGTCGATCAAAGCATTCAATCTTCAAACATCTTTCAACCAATGCATTGCATCATGGCCTACAAAATTTGAATTGAAAATGAGTTTTTTTTGGAAATAATGGGTCTCAAACAGAGGCTAAGAAGTTTATAGATTCTCGTCAAAATAGATANAATTAACTAATTTATAAGATGCAATGAATCAAAACAGCTACACAAATATTAACTTAGACTAAAGCTGAAAGAGCATAATAAAGATGACTTCGAACTTTAATTAACTAATATAAAGACATGGATGGGGAATACAGGTGTGTGTGATGAAGTTTATATATAGCAGGACATTGCTATAAAATATCAGATTAATACACATATATATATGGAAATGTATACATGGACTTCATGTCATACTTCAACAACATTTCCAATGTTAAGAATATTCAGGTCCAATCACATATGCACAGCACTTCAAATGGACTTGAAAAAAATAAGCAAACATTGTAGATTGCAAATACCAACAAACTCAACAGCATGTGATGATTGTACTCACAGGAAGTATGTCCACTAGGGAAACTTTTATGTCCTTCTTTGATGACACTCTTAAATCCAGTACACTGGACATTCCTTGTGACAGGATGGAACACCTATCAAGACAATTGATAGATATTACTGATTGAGAAAGATAATGACCAGAGTTTAAAGTTAAACCATGAGGACTCACCCCTTTTCCATCAGGAAAGCAACGCCAAAAGAAGTCTGGACGGGGACGACCAACAGCATCTTTAATTGCATCGGTAATAACACCAGTAATAAGTACAGAAAACAAGAGGCCTGACAGAGTATACAGTAAACATTATTGCAGCCTATAATATTCACCTTTAACATGAAAATGGGGAAAAACAATAACTTTGAAAAGATAGAATAATACCCAATATAGCTTGGTGCAAATCGTAGACATCATGTCTAATAAAGTAGAAGATAATAATGACAATGAAAGGCAATATTATTGCAATGATCTGTTAGAAGTGGAAAAGGAGCGATGGTTATAAAACTTTCACATAAGGAAAACAAAGGTGACTTCTCCTAAGAGTATATCTACATACAATATGTTCAATTGCAATGTTTCTTGAAGACAGCATACCGGAACAGCCCAGAGGGGAATAGTATTGTCTTGCAATGGGTATTTCAGATCTGTCATCATGTCCTCTCCAACAAATCGATGAAATGGTTCTATTATATTTAAAATGATCTCTATTACCACAAGCAGCATTAGAATAAGCCAATCATGCATGTGGACTCTTGCTACTTGTGCTCCATGAGATCTTATTGTGTGGGAACCCAACTGTATCTCTGGCATCTTCACCAACTAAAACAAATCACAAGTAATTATTACTGGACATCAAAAAAATCTTAACAATAATTGACAGGGCAACCAGAAATTTCATGCGACATATAAACTCAAAAAAGGGGAAAAAAATACCATGAAGCAACACAGAGAATACAAATACTGGTAACATTATTAAGAAACTTTTAGTTTCTTTTCCTCTTTTTTGATAGTATATAAAAGATATAGTCACTTTAGCTGTAAAATAAATAGCAAGTAGAAATGCCTTCCGAAATACTAGTAGTCAGATCTGTCAATCACTGGGAAGTTCCAAGTGCTCTTCTCTTACTATGCCTTGAGCAAAGGTAATGTTAAAGAAGTTCTTGTTCTTTCCTAGCACACAATACTACAAATTTTTGCTTTAGCAGAAGTGAAACAAATATATTGAAGCACGTCTATGTTTTCAAAAGAAACAAGGTACAAACAAAACTTGATATGGATTCAGCTCTATTTCACTCTAGGTCCTTATTTGTCTCTCTTTAATAGGAAAATAACATCCACGAAACCCATTTTCTGTTGAGTTTGGCACATTCGGGCCCTTTCAAAAACTATTGTCGTTTAGGTAATGAAACTAAAACTTTTGCAGCTAACAGGCAACTCGTCGAATTTCTGCTGAAAAGAAGCCTTAAATCCTAATGTAGTTCACAAGTGATTCTGAATAATTTTAAAAAGGCAATTCTACCCCCTTTCTCAGAGAACCAAAAAGAAAATTTAGAAACACAAACTTCATCTTTCCCAACATCCAATCACTTTCATCATAGGAATACTACCCTTCCTCAACCTCGTATGTGGATTCTCAGATGAGTCCCCAGCAGAGCGGCAGTCAAAATCCTTAGGATATGGTATTGGTTCTAATTTCTGCTACCGCACATTCTTTTGTGGCCCTCTCCAAAGATGGAGATGGATATGGAGTGGAGATATAGAAACCAGAAATCCCTCTGGATCTATACTGTACAATAATTATCCAGAGAGAGATAAAGATCATAAAAGTTAAAGAACACATCAGCTTGAGTGATCCCCTAGCTTGAGTATTTTTGGTTCATCAGTTTTTGGGCTAAACTAGTGAGTCTGTTCTGGGTTTAATAACTATGACTAATACCTCGATGATAACACATCACTTTTATCTAGTATACTTTCAATAGATCAATATAAAAAGTTGTTTTGCAGCTTATCAAGAACCTTAAACAAACATGACAATTCATAAAACTATCCCTTTATTTATCAAATTTTCCTATCAACATGTTCATTCTCGGTTGTTGATCTCAACCACTACCAGAAAGATAGAACTAGAAGAAATCAATGTTGAACAACGCCAGGTTATTGAGACAGATTTCATCAACCGAAATTTTCCTATTCAGAAGAAGATCCCTGCAGGATTAAGTACCACACGAAAGGATTGCTCAGTTCAGGCTTTGAGAAAGATACATTGATTCTAGCATAGTTACAAGTCAGAGACTATTGAAGCAACAAGAGACAAATAATGAGACTAAGCAAAACAATAATTGAGAACAGAAGTGCTCTATCGTATCATGTTTAATAAAACTCTTTTTGAGCATATTTTTGAGGAAAAATGTATTTTGGAATGGTAATTTATTTGGAGAATGTGTGGTTAAAAAATAAGGAAAAGTTTGGATTTACATGTAAAATTATTTTAGGAGAAAATGCAGGATTGAAAATGAGTTTTGGAAAAATGGAAGCCAAACATAGGCTTTCCATTTATAATGAGCATTAGAAAGTATGGTCCTCTCGTGAATAAACTAGTGAAGCCTAGATAGTCTCATAGAAACAAACCCATACCCAGGGAAAAAAAAATTAAAAACAGCTAGCATTGCCGAAAAAAGGTTATAAATTATTTTATAACGTAAAAAAAAAAACCGTTTGAGTTGACTCAATTTTTAAGCTTGAAATTTTGCAAGTTTTCTATATTAAACTGAGATCCGGCAGTCGAAGGGTATTCAGTTCACGGGATAGGTTCACGTCGTGAAAATATTGTATGGTAATAAAATAATAGTGCTACAACTGCAATAATCATCATATGTGGCATCTTACATGGCATAGCATTATTAAAATTTATTCCTTTTTTTAAATTATTAAAATTATGTCATATAAGATACGGTGACTGTTGCAGTCTCCGAATAGCATTATTGATGAAATAATGGAGAATTTGTTAGAAATATATTTTTAAAATTTCTTGCTATAGACTGCATATAATGTGATGGTAAGATCTCCAGTCTCATTATCTAAACTTCACTATTTCCGAGGGTAACCGAAATATTAGGGCAAATTTAGGGTCATTTCTATAAAATTATGCTTCAGGCCAGACAAACAGAACTCTGGAAATGAATAACTAGATCAAAATTACACACAACCAATATTTTACACAAAAAATTCAAAAGTCTAATTGACAAAAGCAAGACTATTATAGTAAATTAAACGTACGAACAGAAACAGTACATTCAAACACGTAAGTAAACCTTTTAATAAANACATCATAGGCAACATCTTTGAAGTCACCTCAAAATACAAGCCCCCAATCCTGCCAATTGGAAAAGGCGCCTACGGCATCGTCTGGTAGTTGAACTTAAATCATTTTCCCCTTTCTGTTATTATACGTCTGTGTCTATGAATTTGTGATAAAATTGGAATTATATTGTTCTTTTTTTTTTTTTTAATTACACGTTCTTCAATAAAATAATATTAAATGCAAATTCAAAACCTGTTTTTTAATTTTTCAACCAAACATTATTCATTAATCTAATATTTCAAAATGCATTTTTAAGCAAAAAAAATGAGGCTAAAACATGCTCTAAGTATCTCTTTTTTAATGACAATTTGGTTTGAGTTTCGTTTGTGTTTTAAGTTCATTTTTTATTTTTTTTGAGAATTTATTTTAAGATTGTTAAAAATATATTAAATTTATCATTTTGAAAAGTTATTTTAAAAATAAAAAAATACATGTGATTTAAATTTTGAAAAATTAGTTTCTGGTATTTTATTTCATGAAATTTGATTGTTCGGTAAAAATAGGGTAATTTTAAGTTATAAATTATTAAGTAATACATGCATTTTGAATTTGGTGAGTTGGAACAATGCAATTGGGCATTGACCAACCCACCTGCACTAGATACAGCTGATCCTGTCTGGATGTGCCTATCTATTGAATCAAGTTTGAGATGAGCCTGTAAAATGTGCATTGTAGTTATCAAACTCGACTGGCTAATTCATTGTGTTAATGGTTAAATTGACCGGCTAATGTTTATATTTTTAAATTATTAATTAAATTCTTGAAATATTTACATACGTAATTATTTTTCATGTTTACAATGAAATAATTTGTAAGGTGACAGTTAAAATAGTTGAATGCATTTCGGATTAAATTATCATTATAATATATTACTTAATTCTTCTGAGTATTTGTGTTAAAACATCTTAGTACTAAATTGCAATTGTAAACTTTTAGCAATTTAATTCTTTTACCTTTTGCCGGTTAAAATAAAATCAATAACTGCCCCAGCAAACATAACTACTTTTGATTTCAAACTAAGAATAAGGAAGGAATTTGGCAAGTGGCACATTATCTATTCCACTGAAAAATCTGAGCTAACGGATAATCATATATATATTCTCTTTACAATAAATAATGCTTTCAAATACATATCAAAAGATAGAATTGCTTAATCTACCTTGTGCCAGACTCCATGTCATCGTTCAAATTGCGATTTTCTGCAGTGTTGTTCGGCATAGATTGCTGATTTACTTGTTGCATGCTAATCCCATTCACGGGTTGGACTGTTTGTGGGTTGGAACCTGGTTCCTCCTGCGCTCGGAAATAGGCATAAGGACCCCATCCTGCGAAAGAGCATTGTAACACAGAAACTTCTTTTTAGAATTCCCTCGTCATTTGAAATTTCTCATTTTTCATATATATATATATATAAATATATATATATGATCTAATGAGTACCGATGCTCATCTTATCCTAAGCACCAATGAGTTGGCACATTAATTCATTGATGGATTGGAACTCACAAAATCTTTATCCACCAATGAATTAATGTGCCAACTCATTGGTGCTTAGAATAAGATGAGCACCGGTGCACATTAGATCATTTCTGTATATATATATATATATATATATACTAGTTTTGGTATCGTAAAATGATGACAGAGACAATCTATTCACTGCTAAGGCATTTCGTCCTTGGACTGTCTTTCCTAGCGAAAAGCTAACCCAACAAAACCGGCATCAATGATAATTTTTGTAATGGGATTCCACATAACTGATATCAGTGTTGTGTGTGTCTCCAGCAAAACAGAATTGATTGAGTCCAGAAATCTTAAAAACCGTTGGAAACACACTAATGGAAAAAAAAGTATTTCACACTGTGGAGTCTCTTAAACGAAGAGCAAAATATAGGATATAAACAAAGTGGAAATTCTACCTTCTGTGTGATATGGAGGTGGGAAAAACTGTAGATAGCAAAATGTAGCAACGACAAGACCTGAAAGGTTATACGGATGTACAGATGTAATGCATGGGAAGATGAAAAATAATCGGGTTGATTTAACCTTTGTACTTTAACAGTCAGCAAAAACGAACCTAAGAGACCTCCGGCAAATACATCTTGCCAGTGATGCCAGTAGTCATCCACACGAGAAATACCAACGAGACATGCAGCAAGGATAGGAAGAAAAACAATACATAGTTTTGCCACATGACCCCTCTGATCAAACACTTTAATTTTACCGGATAAGTACAATGACAAAAATCCAAGACCTGCGAATGACCCTGAAATATGCGCTAAATTTTGTTCAGGTGATAAGTTCACAGACGCTGGCAATAAAACTCAAGTAAGAAAGTTGTTCATGTTAACATGACAGAGATATTATGTATAATCTCTTGTGATATGCACAGCAACTTTAAGGATTAAAACGGGCAATAAGAGAATTACTGCATAAATTCTCATTTCAATTGTCGCTTAGAAAAGCAGGACTGGAATTGCCTAGCTTGAAGACGTATAATTATGAAATTTTAGGTCTTTTTTCTTTTAACTTACGCATATCTTGGTAAAAACTGGAATAAAGAAGAGGCACCACTTACATGACGTATGACCACTTGGGAAACTCTTATGTCCTTCCTTAATATCACTGTCTTTACCATGACAGATCACATTGCCCCAACGATCATATAACTGTTAGAGCAAGGGATATAAAATATAACTTCGCTGGTAGGAATGAGATTCATCAAATATAAGGCAAAACTTTGTCAATATATTAGAAAAGAGTTGGTCTATTTAACAACCCAGACACTAAATTATATACGGTGCAAGGTAGAAGTATCATACCGCAATGAATACTTAGTTTCAACCATAAACTATTACAAACAAGAAACACATTATGCCATGTAAAATCCCAAAAAAGTAAAGAAATGCCATCACACAGTAAATGATCTATTGAAGATAGAAGAATCTGAACAGGAAGTGATGAACTAACAATGCATGCAGAGTTTAAGATGACATACATCTTTCCCATCAGGAAAGCAACGCCAGAAAAAATCAGGCCGAGGTCGGCCAACTGCATTTTTTATCGCATCTGTTAGGACCCCAGTTATTAGTACTGCAAATAAGAGTCCTGCAGTTCAATTATAGAGCTAGTCATGCACCAGTCGAAGTCTTTACAAGTTATAATAAGTTTTTAAGATAAAGCATAATATTACCTAGTATACTGTGGTGCAGATCATATACATCTGCCCTACGCAGATAGAAGAGGACAAAGATTGCTATAGGCAACAGAACTGCATACAGCTGATAATCAAGAAAATTCTATTATTTCCACTTTGTTCCCATTGTAAACTATTCAAAAATATTTGACAAGATTTGGAGTAAATTGAGTGAAGAGTGTGAATATTTCATAGCATCTTCTTGAAAATATTCAATCTCCGGAATTGGCCAGTTATTCCAGTTTCATGCCTTCTCTTCTTAACAAAAAGATGAGCAGCGCACACAAAACCAATGCATTTTGTGAAGAAAAATAAAGATAAATTTAAAAGTTCGACTCCTCCATAAAAGGATATGGAGTAGATCAGTGAAAGGAAATCAAGGTTAATTAAATATAAGAAACCAAATAAAACCAACATTTTCAAAATCCGAATCAATTTAATACAATTAATCATTTCAGTTAAACCAAATGCATATATTTGTTTTGACAAGTGAAGAAATATATAATTCAAATGAGTTTTCTTCAAACAATCTAGCAATTAAGTGATACTCACAGGAACAGCCCACACAGGAACGGTGTTATCTTTCATGGGATATTTGAGATCTGTCATCATGTCCTCCCCAACGAAACGATAGAAAGGGTGAATGATATATAAAATGACCTCTATTACAGCAAGAAGAAGCAACATAAGCCAGTCGTGCTTGTGAGTCCTTGCAACTGTTGCCCCATGGGACTTTACAGTATGTTGACATCCAAGCTCAACCTCGTTCGCTCTGCCCTATTTGTTGAAAAATGGGATGAATCAACATTATTTAAGTTGTGCATTGAAGTTCATAATCAAATGGAAAATCCATTGTAATTAAGAGAGTCAAGTGAGACCATCACTAGTTTCAAGAGGCACCTTAATTGCAGCATGGCTTTATTATCTTTAATTAGATGTCATTTAGCCCTTGTCTAAGCCCCATTCTTTAAAACTCATTTTTTTCTCAAACTCATTTTCAACTATATTTCCTCAATAAAATAAATTTGCACGCAAACTCAAAACTTCCCAATTTTTAACCACATATTATCCAAAAATCACTGTTTACACAATCTATTCTAAAAAAATGTGGGGGGTGTGTGTGTGGGGGGGGGGGGGGGGGGGG